GTGTTTGGGAGGAGAGTGGGTGGCCATGACCTACCGCTGATTGGCGCCACAATTGCATCCAGGTCTGGAACCTGATCCAGAAGTTCGAGTGCGACAGTCCCCTGTCCACTGCCCTCGCACACCATCCGACCCACATTCATGCCACCAATTGGAATGCGTTATTCATCACAGACTTGGAACGCAAACTTGCAGAGCTGGGTAAGGCACTTTCCAGTGCCTTTTTTACCCTTTCGTCTCCCTTGGCATTGTGCTCATTGTGCTTTTTCTGTTCGATAATCTTTGACATCATGCCCTCTAGTTTAACCTGGGACCTATGCCCTCTTGTTCAAACTGGGACCTTCTGATTCCTGGTGGACCAGCAGCACCTCACAGATGAGAGATGGTTAATGGAGACCTAAATTTTCAGACAACCTTTCAAAAAAAAAAAAAAAAAAACAAACAACAACTGCCCGTATGGGAGATAGGGGCGCTGGTACGAGCAGACGCCTCTATCTCCCCCGGGGAGGCTCCATCTATTGGTGGGGAGCAACACCTGCTGGAAATCGGGTCATGCCATTTATAACAAAACCCAAGAGTCCAGAGCGATGACTCGTCTAGCCCCCTGCAGGAAAGCGCAGGCCTCCTTGCTAGGGAGAGCGCTGATCATCAACGCGGCCGTTTTCTCAGCAATGTGGTACATGGCCTCCATATGGTCCCCTCCCGATGACGACCTGAAAAAGCTGAAAGTGAGAGCCAGATGCTACCTGTGGACTGGAGACCCCAGCAGGACCACATTGTGTGTATGTACCAATGGGCTGGGAACCGGGCCCAGCGTCCCTTATCACGTGGACTGGAGCAGCGTGACCGCATTGCCTGCATGGGCCAGAATCCTGACCCTGGCTGCCTTCTTCCCTATATGGAAGTGGCAGCCTCTGTTTGGCTCCATGTGGCCTGGCTGGGAAGCTTCCAGTAGCTTCCGGTCGGGCCCCAGTGCCTGCGCCCAGGCCCAGTGCTACAGTTGAGGGCCTGGGCCCTTTACAGTTGGGCGTTTGCTGCATTTGCACAGGACCCAGGGTATGTACGTCGCCAATGCTTCTTTTGCGTAGGCCTGTCGCCAGTTCGTGATGTATCGGCCCTGCATTGTGTGTATGTGCCCAGGCGCAACTACCAGGGCCTGGGCCAAACTGTACGACGCAGCTTAGGGAGGCTCACGCTTCCGTTCAACCAACTGGCGTGCTGCAACAGCCTGAGTACCCACATATGAAAAATGTCAAATTTTGGCATCTAGTGAATATTCAGGCCCGCCTTCACTAAGGGCGGGCACTCGGCTTGCTGACGGCCTCTGCCTGGAACATATGCATGTTTGACAAGGGCCCCGCTAGGGCTCATTCCTCGCACTAATTGAAAAGCAAAAAAAACTATAAAACAGTGAGGCAAAATTGCACTTTCATGTAAATTTCGCCAACATTCAATTTCAGAAATCTTGAGAAATTTCAGAAATCTCAGCAGAGGAAATTCCAATGCTCCAAATGAGACCAAATTTGGTACACCCAAACCTTGACCCAAAACAAAAACAAGCAAAAAAAAAAAAAACAAAAAAAAAAACATAAAACTTGACCCCCTAACCCTAATTTCAGTTTTGGGTCTGTTGGTCAGGACCTGAAAACGGGGGGTCCCGTTAACCATTAGTGTCCAGGTTATCTGGATCATCACCGCCGTTTCTTTTCTTTTCTTTTCTTTTCTTTTTTCGTTTTTACAAAAAAGTTGAAAAAACCATCCCCTTCTATTCTGTGGGGCATCAGTCCGGTTGCTTATCACCGGCAAGCATGTTGTACACAAATGTCGCAATGAGGGAGATTAGAAGATAAGAGAAGGGGAACATTCCAGCCCTTGTGGCACTAGACGCCTAAACAAGGCGGGGCTGCTACAGAGTGCCCATGTCCCAACCTTCATCCGTCCTCGGGGACTATTCTACTGGTTGGGAGGCTTACTAGCAGCACCAGGGGTTTGGCACCGGGGGGGGGTTGTTCTGCGCAGTCCTTCAGGCCACCTGCCAATCTTCCATCGTATCTTTCCATGCTTAAGTCATCTCCACCCCATAAGTACCTCCCTACCCATTTCCTTTCCTACTCCAATAGTCTGTTATTTCTGAAGTACCTTTCCCGTTCTCCCCGTCCATCGTACTATACCATCTCACCCTATTACGTACATTTATACCAAAAATCCCCCCTACCCCGCCTAAGCCAAGCCTGTACCATTTAGACGTTCCTTATTTGTATCTATTACATGTATATATCCTCAGCATTTCCTTTATCATCCTCTATCCCATCTATCAATCTTTATCCCTAAGTCATATCTCCTCCTGAAGTTTCCTTTCATTCCTGTATATCTTACCTATATTTTTGCTTTTTCAATCTGAAGTTCCCATCTTTTCATGACCATTACCTTCTACATCTCTAAACTATTATAATGCATCTATTCTATTCTAAATTTCTAATTGTATCGTAGTTCTCCTAACTTTCCCACCCTAGTCTAAATATGATACAAATCGGCTGCTTTCATCAGGTTCCATCTTCCTAATCTGATTCCTCCTCTGCGTCGATTACCGGCGCATGGCGCGTCAGCAGTGGGCCAAACAGCATACGACCGGTTTGAAGATCCTGGGTCAGCAGCTGCGAGTATGGTTCCCATCTGGCGCAGAAACCTTTCTCCTTCTGTTTCCCTGCCCCCCTGCTTCTGTGCATGTCAGCCAGTATAGCAGTTCTGATATTTTCCAATGCTCTTTCTTGGCAAGCCTGCAGCGGTGGAAATGTTTTCTGTCGACACCTCTCATTCCTCAGCGTCTACAGGGTCCACAATATCGCTGCACGTATGGTCTCCGCTGCCACCAGATCTTCCGGTCTCGATCTATCCACTTTCATCAAGGCTCCCAGGAGTATGGCCGCATCGTCCTCTTCCATCACATTCAGTGGAGAATGCTCTGCCAGTTCCCGGCGCGCCCACCATTCCCAGAATGCTCGAATGACTGGGCATCGCACGAAGAGATGTGGAACAGTCTCCACCTGCGCACATCCTGCTGTACACGTCTGATCCTTATGCTGGCTCCTGGCTGCCAGTTATTGTGCCGTGGGGATTGCCAAGTGATAGAGCTGCCATATCAGGCCCGCCTGTTTCTGGTTGGGTAGAGTGGCCAGGATTGCATTTCACTCATTCCATCTATGATGCATCCATCTGTTGAAAAACACGTCCGGAATCCAGTCCCTCTTCGCCCACCTATTCTTCCGGTCCGCACATATATCTACCGCCTCCAGAAGAGAGTTACAAACGTTTTTCGTGCTGATGCCCTCGATCGGAACTGCTTTCGTCTGCATTCTCTGGCCTGGCCATTCCCACTCCCTCGGGTCCCATATCAAATAATCCCTTTGCCGGTCAGCTATCCGAAACGGTCGATATCAGCCCTTCTCCTTCCAGTCCCCTTCAGGGCCTTCACACACCGCCACTGTTTCCATCATCATTCTGTTCACCGTTTTCCGGGGGCCTTCCTCCTGCGCACTGCATTCCTGCACGCGCTCCCCTAACCCGTCATAGCCCGAATTCAGTAACCATCCCGTTACTTCTAGTTTATCATCCAGCAATACATGTTCCACCCTGTAAACTCTGTCTGGTCTCGGGACTCCCCTCAACTTCACCCATTCCCCAGCAGTCAATTCGTCGTTCCTTAAACCACCAGTACTTGGGCACTGCGCGCCGCGCCAGCCGCCCAAATCTCGAAGCAGCGCGGGCTGTCGATTTGATTTATCGACGGCCCGCCGGCCGCGGAAATCGCGTAGCGTTAACGCTAAGGCGTCGCCCAAGTACTGGTGGTTTAATATTCTCAGCCCACTGGGGGGGGATAGCCTCCCGCAATTCTCGAACCCTTAGCCTCCTTCTCATCGATCCGTGCAGCAGTTCCACCATCTCCTCATCCGGACGCCAATCCTTCCGATCTTCGTCCCAAAGATGTCCCACCTTATAAATTCCTTGCTCCGCCCACCTCCGCCCATATGCACCTCGCGGGCCATGCCACGGAAAGGGGTCTCCAATTGCATCACATATAAACCGGTTGTTGAACAGTAACTGGTTGAAGACAGCATCGGCAGTTTCCGGCATTCAACATCTCAACCGTGCTTTTTTCCACAGCGCCAGTTCGGTGGACTCGTTGCCGTATTACTTATCAAGCACAGGTCCTCCAGTTCTCTGGGCTTCTGAAGTGCATACGCCAGGTGAGTCCTGGTAACTTCTTGCCAGGGCCCCCCCACCCCTATTCATCTATTTTTTTTGTTTTTTGTTGTGTTTTAAAAATTTGGACCATTTGGTCCATTTCTCAATTCATGTGTGTCACTGTCATCCTCGTGCAGGGGCCATGCTAATCTTCTCCATATTGTTCTAGTTTTAACAGATGTCTCACAAGGCCGGCCATGCTAATCTTCTCCATATTGTTCTAGTTTTAACAGATGTCTCACAAGGCCGCACCACCTCTTTTGTTTCTTTGTTTAACTTTTTCCAAATAGAAAAGGACAATAGCAGCCCAAGCGGGCTAGCTCAGTTGGTTGAACACGTAAGTGGCACTCAGGAGGTCGTGGGTTTCGATACCCAACGTCGTCCTTTCGGTTCCTGCGACCTCCCGGTAGTACGCTTCGGGTTCACCAGCGGAGATTGTTGGCTTGGGTCTCCTGGCTGGTTGAAGAAGTAGCTCTTTCCAGCCTGCACCAGGTGTTAGGATCTTGGGTACTGCTCCCCCGCACAGAGCAGAGTTCGGTAGGTAGGCATAGACCCATACCTTTAGGATAGCTTAGGCTTACCCAGTCTATTTAATACTGAGGGAATCCATAGTCCTACATCTTGTAGTAGTTGCTTGCTGAATACATTGTAGGGTAGATAGGGGCTTGGGGGTGAGGTATAGATACAAGGTTAGCTAGAGTGAGGTAAGAGAGAAGAAAATAGAGTAGGACAAAAAATACAACTGTCCCCCGTATGAGGAGAAGACAGCTGCAATTTTCTTTTTCTTTTAAAAAAAAAGAGAAGAAAAGGACAATAGCAGCAATAGCCGGTTTTTTTTTTTTTTTTTTTTTTTTTTTTTTTTTTTTAAGGGGGTCCCAGTGCCCAAGGCTGATATTAACAATATAATGATTGAGGCCGGGGTCCTCACAGTCTACCCCGAAGTAACCAGAAGGAATTCTACAATAATGTTTGGATATCCATTAATCAATGCACTAATGCTCTGATACCAATGATCAAGAAACATTAAACTAGCATAGTGCCTCTTCACCCTTAATGGGCGCCAAATAATCATGAATCCCAAGCACCTTACCAAATAACTATCCAAACCATGCAACAGGCACAATACAATTACTAGGGGGGGGGAAGAAATCAGGAAATTCCGACATGGACTTCAGTGGGATAGAGGAGTCAACAGTAGTCCAATCATTAAAGACAAGCCGGTAATCCCTTTTAAGGGAATCCTGAGTGTTTGCATGACCGCCTTCCCAAGTTACTTTCCCCAACCTCCCACCCTGGTCACTTCCAAGCCAACTTCTGTTAGCCCTAAGGGCCTAAGGCCCTTAACATTATCATGCCGGGAATAATCTGCACAGGATTTGAATTTTGAATACATAACCGACAGTAGTTCTACATGTGCACTCACCGGCCAGACAATCAGCCTACTGTTGCTCTCTTAATTGCTTCTGAGATACTTCAAAAACAGGAGAATTTTGAGATCTCCATGGCGAGACGGATGAGCACAGGATGAACATCACCAATTCCATTCGCATTCTTCTCTAAATCTGTTGCATGCAATAATATAGACACATGTGCCATGCTGCTCACGGGTCCTTCGGCCTAACGGAAGGAAGTGTGTGGGTGTATCTCGTTGTACTCTCATGACTTGCTGATGGAATAGGAACGGCACTCACACTCCTCAGAATGGACATGGAGCCAGGACCAAAAGGCCCTACTTAGGCTATTTTGGAAGAAGAAGAAGAAGAAGAAGAAGAAGAAGAAGAAGAAGAAAAAGAAGAAGAAGAAAAAGAAGTAGTAGAAGAAGAAGAAGAAGAATTCTTCTTCCTCCTCCAAGAGCTTCTTCTTCTTCTTCTTCTTCTTCTTCTTCTTCTTCCTCTTCTTCTTCTTGCCTTGAGTTCTTAACTGTCTCCTCAAGGTAGTGAAGCTATGAAAGCCTACCGTCTTCACCCGAATAGAACACCCGGTCATTATCGCTGCATCTGGACCGAAAGTTGTGCCAAATACAGCTATAATGACCGGGCATTCTATTCGGGTGAAGACGGTAGTCTAGATTTGTAGGTGCAGCTCTCAGATCTATCCAACCAGAGATGAAGCTATTAGCGTATTATAAAGTTGCAACTGGTCATCTTTCTGAGGCAAATCATTGATTGTACAGGAGACGGAGTGAAAAGCGGGGTTCAGTTTTCAAGTTTCAGCGTCTTACCTGATGACAGCGCCATGATTATATGGTGGAATAAAGGTTGCCCCAGTCTGACTAACAATTGCCTCTGCAGTCCTTTCTCTGGAGATCAGGCTGGGCTCACAGAGATGAACCACTCCTCCATAGCGTTTCACTGCCTCTAGCTTGCAAATCGGTGTGTTCTTTGGGATAACGATGTACGCCGGCATGCCTCGAACTCTAGCTGCAAGTGCAAGTGCAGCTGCATGGTTGCCACTGGAATCCCAGAAGTCAATGACGACAGATATCAGAAAGACTTTAGCATTTCATCCAATTGAATTGCAGTAGCCGTACGGCCCCGTGATCCGGTTTGCTTTATTTCCAATGTTCCTTTCTTACTTAGTCCGGTTTTAATTTTCATAGAAGTTGCAGATGATGGAACGCTGGACCCGGTTTCTAGCTCAAGCCAAACTGGGTAATGGCCCCAGCACCACCCGGGTTGAGCTGTTGAGGGATTCCCAGCCTCGTTGATTTTATATAATAAAACTGCAGCTTTTTGTTAAAAAAAAAAGAAGGAAAAAGTTCAGAAAACAGAATAACAATAGCCCTTAAGGACATCTGTTGAATCTGGGAATGATAGAGAGTAGATTAGCATGGCCACTGTGCAAGAATCACACACACAAATTGAGATTTGAATACCATGAAAACTCAAGAAAACAACAATAACTGGCCTGGCTCAGTTGGCACACCCAATGAACTGTTGAAACTTGAAATACAGACACAAGTTCGAATCCAGCTGCGATCAGATGAACAGAGTAAAATAATTTCTGAATTACCTGGGGCCGATCAGCTCAATGATGATATCTCAAGGCCGTCACCCTTTAAACAGAAAAAAGACAAAAAAAATTGACCCAGGGCACAGCTTCGCTTTGACTGCAAGCATATATGTGAGAGGATGGTTTACAGCTTTAGACATCGAAACAGGTTTTCAGAAAACAGTTCATGAGTTGATGGACGTAGATACGTGGCATCGTAGTCAGGGATTGCTATGTGGTGAAAGAGGAAAATGATGATGTGGTATCATTCATGCACGTAATCTTGGGGCTAATAAAACATAGACAAGCTCAACACACCTCCTCTCTTGCACAGAAAAAAACAAGAAGGAAAGTCAGAATTTCAGCACGTTCACTTTTGGAAAACGAAGTGGCTGTGGTTGTGGCCCAAACGAAAAAGTTGATAAAGTGGAATGCAGAGTACACAACAGAGTTCACTACCATTCAGCACATCGCAGATGGGGAGGCACCACATGTAGTGGCCTCGGCCAAATCAGCACGAATGACATTGATGGACACCCGCCCGCTGATTGCGGCCAGGTACGTCGAGAAAGAGGGAGGATGGCAGATCGCCACAGATGTGTCCTTCACAATCCCAAGGGTTGAGGAAGGACAGAATGTTGCAAGTATTCTTCAAGAAAAGGTAACAGAGGGGTACCCACTGGGCATGTACGAAACAGTTGCCCTGGACAATGGTCAAGAGGACAGGTCCTCCCAAGCAGGCCAGGAGGACCGGCAGGACCATCATATGGACCTAGAGAGACACTCCCCTCGTGCATTCTCCCTTTTGATTGCAAAATTGCCAGAGGAAACCAAACTGAAGAGTGGGATGATGTGGAGGCCATGGAGAACTGTGACAACGATTCCATACAGCGTGCTGGCGGGACCCGGCATTCCAGCGGAATTGCTGGCGGTCTCAGTGGCACACCTCCTGACTCATGGGATTCTGAAGGGAGACAGCGATCTGGACTCAAGGACGTTCGTCATTGATCTAGACAGATATTACAAAAGTGATTGCTTCGAGAGTGATATGGAGGAGTGGGAAGATGAGGACAAAGGAGTAGAATCAGAACCGGCCCTTGTCCCGGGACAGGAAACCAGTGGAAGTGTGAAGGAGTATAAGCTAGATGATTCTCTCACCACAGTGCTTCAGGACCCGCTGGGTGATGCGTCGACAGATGGATGCAAGCGACCAGGCCCCCTCCTAGGATGTCTACACTATGCTCGTACCCCTACCTCTTCCCCGTAGCCTCAATGATGGAGATTTTTAGAAAGGGGGCAAACGCAAAGGAAGACCGGGTGACACAAGAGATAATCATTAGGAGCTGGAATATTAATGGGATCAGAAATATTATCGACAAAGAAGAAAAAATGCATGATATAATCAAAGGTCTTACTGTTCACACAAATAAACTGGCACATATCATATTGCTACAAGAAACTTACCTCACCTTCTCAGCAGACCACAACATAATTTGAAAATTCTTATCAAGAAAACTGGGAGGAATGAAAGATGAAATATGGTCCTCAGACAATACGTCAAGTACGAAAGGTACAGTCATCTTTGTACCGAAGTCATCCCGCCTATACACTGCAGGGTCGATAGTGGGCAAAGAGGCGGACACGGTAGAAGGTAGATGGTGCCTTATGGATGTAAAGTGGAAGGACGAAGAGTTCAGAGTAATCAATGTCTACTCACCAAACAACTCTTCACACAGATCAACTTTTTTAACAAACATCGATCATCTGATCCCCGTTTTATCTCCCTGTATTTTGGCCGGTGATTGGAACGCAACTATAGACCCCACCACGGGTCGTATATCTAGGTCCTCGATTGGTCAGCTTACACAGGAGGCAGTGCCCATCCAAAAGCTGATGATGGACTACAATCTAGTGGAACCATAGCGGACTTTGCATCCGGGGACAAAAGCCTTCACAATGGTTAAAAAGAACCATGCCCACCATACCGCTTTCTCCTTCATTGACTATTTCCTGATCTCAGGGACACTAATGGGGACAACCAAAAGCGTCGAGATCTTGACCCACGCACCGTACCCCGGGTCTGGACCACAAACCCATCGAACTAATAATCAACTTCGAACAGTATGTCAAAAAGGGGTCCAACGTTCACAAACTCAATAACTCCCTCCTACTAAGCCGGAATTTTCATATAGGAGTTCCGGATTGTTGGTAGAATTCGGAGGGCACCTACCTACCCACACAGGATCGGTGGGAGTGGTTTCAGGAAAGCTACTCCACATTATCACAGACCGTAGCTAGAATCTCAAGAAAAACACCCCTCTTCGGTCCATTTCAAATTTCAAATTTTGCTATTTGAAAATATATATACATACATATATATATCGTCACAAACAGAACTGCCCGGTAAACCGTAGGCAGAGAGAGAGAAGAGGACAACAAACGAGGGGCTATATATATAGTCCTCTTCTCCCTCTTTGCCTATGGTTTCCCAGACAACTCTGTTTGACGATAAATATATATATGTATATATATATGATGATGATATATATATATCATTAAATAGAGTTGTCCGGTAAACCATAGGCAGAGAGAAAGAAGAGGACAACAAACGAGGGGCTATGACAAACTGTTTCGTCAAAGTTTCACTGACTCATCAAGAGGATGAGAGAGGGAGAAGAGGACAACAGACGAGGGGTTGTGACAAACTGTTTTGTCGGAGTTTCACCGACTCATATATATATATATATGTGTGTGTGTGTGTGTATATATATGTGTGTATATATATGTGAGGTGTGAACCGACAGTCTGTAGAGTTTTCCATCTAGTGTGGGTGAGTGATAATCTGCTTCGATTTTTGTCACAGGTACCTTGAGGGCAGTAGTTGGTGCCCACCTCAGGGTATCAGTTGTCGGGCAGACGTTGATGCTTAACCACACTCGGGGTTAAGGTGGATTATCACTTACAGTGTAATCGGTTAGGGGATTCTGCAAACTGTTGAGGGTTCAACCTCCTGATGAGTTGGTGAAACTCCGATGAAATAGTTTGTCCTCTTTTCCCTCTCTGCCTACGATATATATGTATAATATATATATATGTATAATATATATATCGTCAAATAGAATATATATATATATATTATATATATTGTATATTATATATATTGTATATATTATATATATTGACGATTAATGATATATATTAGTATTTTCAATTGTTCAACTTTTCTAAGCATATGAAGGTATTCGAAAAACAAAAAGAACATTTTGCTTTAGTTTTCGAAAGAACATTGTACTTCCACCATACAGCATACCTTCAAGCCCAAGGAATTTTGCCCCAGTAACTTGTATGTTTGAGCGTTTAAAATACACTTCTAATTTTCAAATACATTCTACAATTTCTACTCATATTTAATTCCTTTCCACCATTTCCAGTTATTAAAATAATAAATCCTAAGTCTCCAATTAAGCTTATGGGCGCTTACTAGAGAATCCTGTTCCAATCCAATGTAGAGTCCACTCTGGTGTCGACCGAAACAACTCTGGTGTCGATTGGTCAACTTTGGTGTCAATCGAGTCAATTCTGGTCGCGGTCGAGTCAACTGGTGTAAATTAAGACAATTTAAGAGTATTGGTGCTTACAAGAGAATAATGTTCCTATCAAACATAGAGTCAACTCTCGTGCCAATCGAGTCAACTCTTGTGTCGATCGAGTCAACTCTCGTGCTGATCGAGTCAACTCTCATGCCCATCGAGTCAACTCTCGTGCCGATCGAGTGAACTCTCGTGCCGATCGAGTCAACCCTCGTGCCGATCGAGTCAACTCTATTGTCAAGTAAGCGTATTGGGGATGATTAGAGAATTAGCTAGATTAGCTAACCTCAAGTCAACTCAGAGTGTCGATCGAGAGTCGGGACGCATTAGCAGTTTCAAAATCGGATATGATGAAAGCTTTAGGCTGCACACAACTTAACGGCATCACTACTCGGAAGGTTATTTTTTTCCTTCATCAGTGACCACCTAGTTGCATGATAGGCCTGGCATAGGTGCAGTGGGAGGCGCAGATGGGGCGAAGCAAATAGCAGCTTCAACCAGTGGCAGCCACTCAAAACGACAACCCACCCCCCAAAACAAACAAGTGTCTATTTATCCAATTGTCCCCTCTTGGCCGTTGCCAGAAATTGGTGTGGTAGCATTGTGGTCGTTTAATGTGCCAGCACCTCGAAAAACAGCACCACAACTCCCCAAGGCCACAGACAGACCCTGGCACCATTGGATGGCAGACCTGACAGGAGAGATTCTGGCACCGTTGGATTGTAAATAAGTTGATGGTCATGGGGAGAACGGCCCACTGGATTGCAGATCGGATGACCACCGCTCTCCATGGGGAGTCATGGGGAGTGTTAGCCACATTTCTTCTTCGAGGCTCGAGCAGAAACGTGCGTACGGCCAGAGTGGTTGGAGACGCTAGAAGAGACTCCCGAATAGTAACTGGAAATGAGATACCTGACAACTTCATGACCAGAGTCATCCATCACAGAATGTGAATTGACTCTGTTTTTTGTTCGGACTCTTCACGTATAGTCTCTAAGGATCCTACACAGACACTATGAGGTTGGAGAGCGGTGTCTTTTCCATCGCAGCTCGGACCAGTTAAGCTCTTCAGATACGAATTGAGCCACCGACGGCACTGCTCTTTGGGAAGCGATTTTGCCACTGTTGGATTGCAGATCGGACGGTGATGATGGCGAGCGACGGCCATGGGGAGCAGTGTCCTTTGGATCGCAGATCGGACAGGCTACGTACAAAATGAAGGAAATGGGAGGCCACATTGAATCGAGAAGATCATTGCAATGGAGAAGCTGATAGCGCAATGATAGTAATGTTCATGTTATCTGAGTGGCGTATGAGTGGAAGGATTGGGTCCTCAATAGTGTTCGTTGAATGGAGGTGGTGGAGAAGTTGATGGGGCTAGGATGGTAATGCTCATGTCATCTTCTTCATAATACATGACAGCTTTCTCAAGACCATTGCAATACCTAGCTCATGTGGCTGAATGGTACACAAGTGGAACTGTTCATGAATAGATCATCCGTTCAATTTCTAATGGAATCAGATGGATAAAATCATGTTAGTTTGTACCCCTAAGAACTACAAATAGACGACCGTTGAGATATCCACGTTGAGTTTCAGAGACTTTGGCCGTGAATTTGGCCGCATGCAGCTGATGTTGGTGGTGTTCTTGGCTTTCGTCTTGAGTCTGCCTCTGCACTCGATTATGCAACGCATGCAAATAGGGAGACCCTCCAGGTATCCCCCCCCCCCCCACCCCCCCCCCCCCCCCCCCCCCCCCCCCCCCCCCCCCCCCCCCCAAAACCACGATCGATGACTGAAGATAAACAATGTGAGTCGCTATGAGCCAATAGACGCAATGCTCAGTTGGGTACATCTCTCAACTGTTGAAATACAGACCTGATTTCAAATTCCGATGGAATCAGATAAGTAAACGTACCTCTGAATTTACCTGGGGCCAGTCATTTCAAAGATGATATCTCAAATCCGTTGCCCATTGGCAAAAAAGAAAAAAAGGAAAAAAGGAAAGGAAAAAAAAACACAATGCATGTTAAGATGACAGACCATCCACATGTCTTTCACCCAGGCCTTTCTTCCCCCAAACTCAATGCCCAGTCTAAGGACAGCTATAATGACTGGCTGTTGCATTTGACGGTATAACAACTACTCAAGATAAACAGTACAAGTTGCAGCTTGCAACAAGTTATAGAACAAATGAGCAAAGGCATACCCACACTAATACTTTTCTCAACTGAATGTGGGTGGAATTGCAGTCAAGAACATCATGGAAAAGTCCTGGTGTGAATATGCTCGAAGCCCCATCATGCTATCATTCCTAAGAGATGTAGCTGACAGTAGACTCGATACTTGCTCTGGGAGTCAAAAATTCTGATGACACCACCCACATTTAGAAGGCTTCATTAATATTGGAAAAATTCAAAATTAATATCTAGTTTAGGGGTTTGCAAACCCCTCAATGTGACGAGGATAACACCTTGGATTCCAGACAAAAAAAAAAGGGAAAACTCAGGCGCAGTCGCGGTTTCAGTTTGAAAATGCACTCCAGTCACGATTTCGCAAGTGTTGTGCCAAAGTGAGAAAATTGTGAATGTATACAACCTAGCTTTAGGGCCGGGTGGGGATGTGTTGTATTTTAGGGACCTGAAGTGGATTTTAAACTGAAATCGTGACTGCGCCCTAGTTACCCCCAAACGGGCGGGCGGGCGGGCGGGCGGGCGGGCGGGGGGGGGGGAATCATTTAAAATTAAAAAAGAGAGATGAGGAATAGAAAGTTTAGAAACCGTATCAAATTTGAGAAAGTATGCAGTACTATGCACTCACGGTCAAAATGCGAAAAAGCGAGAGTGATAGTCCAAACGACTCCAAAATGTGATCCCCCCCCCCCCCACCAAAAAAAAAAGGGTGATCCCTGCAACAAGGCAGTGAAAAGGACAAGTTCAGGTCCAAGGTGAATAATCTTTCCAACAAAGATACAGTCCCTTTTCAATGGCACCTCCACTCACACTGACCTGCTGTGAGTCACAACTCCTTTGGCAATGCAGTCATCTGAAATGGAATATACGGCATTGCATGCACCGCGGAATTTGAAGGAACCCCTGCGACGGCATCCACCATTGCACAGATCAGGACTTGGCTAAGTTCAAATTTTATGTGGGCTTCACAATTCTTTTCTCACACTTGAGCTGGACTCTTGACCATCACACTTAACATGTCCTCTCTCTCTCTCTCTCTCTCTCTCTCTCTCTCTCTCTCTCTCTCTCTCTCTCTCTCTCTCTCTCTCTCTCTCTCTCTCTC